GCACCGCTCTCCCAGATACATCGTCTTGTTCGGGTAGCTTCTTGGTGGTGCTTTTGCTTGTCTGTTTTATTGGTATAACGTTCATTGAGTAAAGCAGTTATATCTGAAGCAGACTGCTCAGTGAGTGCCTGCACATACAAACACCCACCGTTCATGTAGAGTGGACGCTGTCCAGTATCCCAGAGGGCTCCATGCCATATTGGTCCCACCTCCCCGAGCAGTAACCACTGTTCCAACTTAACCTTAACTTTGCCTCTTAAAGTTCACAAACAGAATCATACAGAGCGTACCTTTCTGTGTCTAGTTTCTTTTCTTCATCGTATCTATAGATTCTTCCACGCTATTACATTTAGCTTGGTTTGTTCTTGTCTATAGATGAATTCTATTCAATTGTAAAGTACACCGCATTTGTTTCTGTACTGTGCCAATGACTGGCAGCTTTTCCAATGCTTAGCTATTTGAATAAGCATATCATGCGGATCCGTGTACAGATCTCATATTAGACACATGTCGCTCCCCCTCTTCATGGAGGAACGACACAAAACCCTGCCTAGGCTTCATATCTGAGTCACGGCACCATTATGTCGCTCCCCCTCTTCGTGGAGGAACGACACAGGACCCTGCGCTGTTCTTTTGTCTGCTCGGCCCTCCCCGGGTTTGCTGCTGGTTCTTCCCGGGTTGGCTACCGTCCCTTCCACCTCCGTGGAGGGGCGGGCCCCCTGCCACTTTCCCCACTTCTGCGGGGGAGCGGTACACCGCCGGCCGGCTCTCTCGGGGGCTGCACAGGTGTTCCCTCAGATGTTCCTGGTGCATGTTGTCTCTCTCCTCCTTTATAATCCTCTTCCACCAATCCCAACTCTGCTGCCCACACGCCGAGTATGCTGCTCTCCTCCAATCAGGAGCAGGTCCTGCTGTTTATTGGTTGAACTGGAGGCAGCTGTGTAGAAGCTGTTTCCTCCTCTCCCAGCGCCATATTGTGGGAGAGCAGATGCATAGAATAAGTCTTAATTCGAGTAACAGTCTAGTCCGAGTTGCTCCCCACAGATCCCCCTTTCTTTTTATTTTTTGGTGTTGATACGCGCCTGTCTTCGGTGCCCCGTGGCACACACTCTGCTCTGCTTGCTAGAGTTGCCCACAGGTGCTTACAAGCCCTACCAATCAGGCAAACCGAATCCGGGTCCTCTCTTTGCCATGTTGTGAGGAGGTTTTTAGGCGCTGATGCGTGCCTGTGTTCGGTGCCCTGCAGCGCATGCTCTGCTCTGCTAGAACTGCCTGCAGGTGCTTACAAGCCCTATCAATCAGGCAAACCGAATCCAAGCCTTCTCATTGCCGTATTGTGGGGAGACTTATTGGTGTTGATAACATGCCTGTCTTCGGTGACCTGCAGCCGCCCACAGGTGCTTATCGTCTTACTAATCAGGCAGACCGAATCCGAGCCCTCTCATTGCCATGTTGTGGGGAGGCCTTATTTTTCCCTATTTCTCTATCTCCGGGCATTCCTATTTCTCCTATTTTACTTCTATCTACCAGCATTCCTATTTCTCTCATTTTATTTCTAAACTTCTGTTTCTCTTATCCCCGCGGCTTCCCGGCGCCCGCCCCGAGGCAGCTTCTCAGCGCCTCACCCCGCAGCGGCTTCTCGGCTCTGCGCCGCTTCAGCCCGCGCTTCTCTCATCTGCGCGGCTTCCCGGCTTCACGTGCGCTCCGCGGTCTCTGTGCCCTTCGCACCCGCACCATGGCCTTCGCGCCAGCCCTGCGTTCTATTAGTGCCCCGTGCGCTCTCCCCGTTCGTGCCCTGCGCGCTCTCTGCGCGCAGCGGCTTCCGAGAGTCACACAGCCTAGCTTATGTTTCCACCACCGGTATTCAGTCTAAGTTCCCCGGGCTAACCTGGCGAATTCAACCTAGCTCACGTCTGCACCTTTCGGTTTGGCTTCCCGTCTTTTGCTCCCTGGGCTAATCTGATGGATTCCAACCTGGCGGCCCACGTCTCCGCCTCTGGTTTTGCTTTTCGCCTTTTGTTTCCCGGGCTGACTTGAAGAATTCCAACCTGGCTTTCGTCTCCGCCTTGGCCTGCCCCCGCGGCTTCATCCTCCCTAACATATTTTTCTCTACCTGGTATGTTTCCTAACTTTTCTTCCAACAATATTCCCCTCTCATTTCTCCTGGCTTCTCCCCACAGTCCGTATCCGAGTCTAAGTTTCTTCTAGGTTTCATTTTCGCTTTCAACCTTAGAGATTTCTCCCAGCTTCCCCCCGTAGTCCGTATCCGAGTCTATGCCTAGGCTTTCGATAGCTTCTTCCGGCACCTTTTCCGTCCGGCTTTTCCCTAGGCTCTTTGCTAGTCTCTCTCTCCGGTATTTTCCCACTTCTTCCCGTTTCTTCCCTCCTAGGTTTCCTATCCGAGTCACGGCACCATTATGTCGCTCCCCCTCTTCGTGGAGGAACGACACAGGACCCTGCGCTGTTCTTTTGTCTGCTCGGCCCTCCCCGGGTTTGCTGCTGGTTCTTCCCGGGTTGGCTACCGTCCCTTCCACCTCCGTGGAAGGGCGGTTCCCCCTGCCACTTTCCCCACTTCCATGGGGGAGCGGTACACCGCCGGCCAGCTCTCTCGGGGGCTGCACAGGTGTTCCTTCAGATAGATGTTCCCGGTGCATGTTGTCTCTCTCCTCCTTTATAGTCCTCTTCCACCAATCCCAACTCTGCTACCCACACGCTGAGTACGCTGCTCTCCTCCAATCAGGAGCAGGTCCTGCTGTTTATTGGTTGAACTGGAGGCAGCTGTGTAGAAGCTGTTTCCTCCTCTCCCAGCGCCATATTGTGGGAGAGCAGATGCAAAGAATAAGTCTTAATTCCAGTAACTTAGTCTAGTCCGAGTTGCTCCCAGTTGCTCCCCTCCCCCAGCTGCCCTCTGATGCAGCCATATTTTTGCCTTTAGTCTCCTGAGAGCACTCTCTTGGGCAGTGGGCAGGGACACGGTGGAGCTGTCCTCCTGCTCTGCCGGGCCATGCCCACCTGCTAGGCTGTGACTTTCAATTCTGGCTCCACACCAGTCTCCCCCAGGGCCGGAGTGATACTCACCAATGCCCCTCAGCTCAGGCCAAATCTGCACACAGACCCCAGCCAGGCCCCGCCTCCCCTTCCCACCCTGCACCTCTCTGCACCTAAGGGGTGGACGGTTCTGCGACTTGGCGGGGAGGGGCTGTGCGTGTGGAAGGAGAAGAACTCAGGGCTGTCCCAGGAAATGTGGGCGCTGGGAAGACCAAGCAGGAACCCCTCTGCCCCGACCGTGGCCAAGGCCAGGCTGAAAACCGGCCATGGAAGGGACTCGGACTAAGCCTCATGCTCCCTCTGGTGGCAATAGGTGGAACTGCACTCTCAGGCCCAGGCTGCTTTTGTCAACTCTTGGATGATTAAGACCAATTCACGTAATCACTTCGCAGTGTGACTCAGTACAGATCTGAACTGTGGAAAATCCCGAAGGGAAGTGAAAGTTCAGCAGCTGCAGGCGACCTGACCTTCCTGGAGGGAGAAGGGGAACTGTTCCCTAGCGTCCTGGGGGGAGGGGGTCAGCCACACCTCCCCCCACCTGTCCCCAGGGGTCCCCTAGGGGCGTGTCAGGCTTCCTCCTGTGCGAACCCCACCTCAAGGGGCCTCTCCAGCAGGTCTGGAGGTTTGAAAAGGACCCGATGCAGTCTCACGTTTCTCCAGCAGGGGGTTTGCATCAGGGTCACCCACGGGAAGTGACTCACCCAGGACCCATTCCCCTCCAGAGCCCCTGGAATTCCCTCTGAGTGCGGGCGGCTCCGTGGGCTGGTGAATAGAACATTCCAGAACGGCCATCTCACGTTTGCCCACGTGGACTGCAGGCCTGCGACGCAGCTCCTCCCGTTTCTGGGAGAGGAACCACCTCCCTCCTGATCTCCCCTGGCGGCTGCTCCTGTGTGCATCTGTCCCCCATACAGAAATACTGAACACTGCCTGGGGGTGACCGGTGGCATTGGTGTTATCTGGGAGCCCATCTTCAGAGCAAGCGTCACAGACCTTGCCAGGCTCTGCCCTGCTGGCCCCTGCTGGCCCAGGCTTCCTGGGGCACAGGTGGTCTGCCAGGAAGTCCACCTCCCCCCGCCGGCCCCTCGGTGCCAAGGTGCTGGGAAGAGCACATGAGGGGAGCCACAGACTCGGTCCAGCTCTGGCTCTGATGGCTTTGGGGCCTCCCTGGGTTCCCCGGTGTCCCTTCTGTGGGTTGCTGGGCTTCAGGGCTCAGGGGCAGTGGGCTTGGATCACGAGTGTAATTCGTAAGAGGAAAGGTGGCCCACCTGCCCTTCCCCACTCACCCTGCAAAGTTTGAACCCCAGAAACTTCCCTGGGCTCTTCCTTCGGATGCCTGCAGACGCAGGTGAGCAAACCAGACGCTAGGTGGCGCCCGGATCCGCCACGCCGCGGGTCCCCGGACGACCACTGCGGGCAGGGAGGGAGGCTGGAGGGCGGGGTGGCCCGGGCGGGGAGGCTGGTTGAGGATGCCTGAATGGACAAGGCCCTGGAAGACGTGGGAACAACGGGCTCGCCCTCGGTGCCCATTGCTGGGCCTCTGGTGCTAAGCTTAACGGGGGGGGGGGGCACAGGTGGGTGTGAGTGGGTTCAGCTGGGGTTGCCTGGCCCCGAGGGGTGGGGGTGGCGGGGAGAATCCGGTTCAGGGCCCCCCGGCCCCCCGCCCTGGGGCGCCCCACCCTGGGGCACCCTGGGCGAACTGGCAGCACCCAACATAGGTGGTGGCCTCAGGCAGCTACAAGGTTGGTGGGCTGGGTCACTCCTCTCAGGGAAGCCCCAGGCCCTGGAAGCCGCCCAGGGCCTCTGTCCCCGCAGGGCCCCCCCCCCCCCCCCCCCCGGCTGCTGTCGGTCCAGGTGACACCAAGCTACTGCTTTTACAGGCACAGGGATGATGGAGGCTGTGTTTGTATCCAGCTTGGAGACAGTTACGGAACAAGGTAGGCGGGGGAAGGGCCATTTCTGAAGCCAGCTTTATTACGGGCAGGAGGTGGTGCGGGCAGGAGGCAAAGCCCACCACGATTGATCAGGCTGAGCCTGGCAGACAGGAGGTGGGTCGGCGGTCCGGCCTAGATGGGGGTCCTCAGCTGAGTCTGAAAAGAGGGAGGCAGGAGAGGGACTGGGAGCTGGGGTTTGTTTCCCCCCCCCCCCGCCCCGGTCAGCTTCCCTAGGTCATGCGCTGCACCCCAGGCACTTGTCAATCATTCAGAAACCCATGGCGGGTGGCAGACCCCACGACCCACCATGAGCCCTAGACTTCCTCCCAGCCCAGTCCCAGCCCCCCGCCTCCCCGACGCACCTGCTGTCACAGCTCGTCTTCACCGAGTTGCCTGGGTTGGGGGCAGAGACAGGTCAGAGGCCGGCGGGAGGGCTGGGGCTGGGACTCTCAGGTTGAGGACCCTTTCCCAGCCCCAGAGACAAAATCCTCATCCCACCCCCGCCCGCCCCCATGGTTCCCCGGGAACACTCACCTGCGTTTCTTATGCCCCCCACAGCGGAATCTTTTGCCTTGAAAGGAGAAAAAGGGATTCAAGTTCGCAGACTTCTGAAAGATGGGGTCATCAGCCTCTGTTCTCCCCATCCTCCTGACCACCCACCGGCGTCACTGGCTTAGGGCTTGGGGTCACCTCACATAGGGCCGGACCCAGAACATTTAAGGAACCCTCGAACGCTCACTGCAGTGGACCCACGGGGAACAGTGCGGGCGCTCACAGCACCGGGCACAGAGCACTGGGAGGTACGTGGCAGGAAGCCCCTCCGAGCCCTGCTCGGACCCCTGCTTGGGTTCGTGTGCCCTCCACCCCCATGCCGTGGCCGAAGTGCGTTAGGATTCTGGGACACAAGGCTGTGTGTGCTGTGTGCAGCATCTCCTTGCCTTTGGCTACGTGTCTGTGTATTTGTCTTTTGGGTGTGCCAGAACAAGTCAGCAGCATTTAGTAAGCTCCTGCCCTGTGCCTGCTGAGGTTGGGGGACCCTCTGTCACAGCCCCCATGTACGCATGGCCCTTGCTGAGGTGCTGTTGGGCCCCCCAAGTCTCTGGATGGCAGCAGGGGTCAGCCTGACTTAGCAGAGTGGGGCCCTGGGGGTTTGCAATGCAGGGTCTGGCCCCCGGCTGCAAGAAGGCAGACACACCTGGGCCAGTTAGTGTACCTCTCAGGTGGGCCTGCCTTGTCATCGTAAAAGGCTGGCGGTCGGGCCTCCCTCAGTGGTGCCCAGAGGACTGAATGGGCTAAGATGTGGCCCAGGTGCAGGCTGGTGCCCCCCCCCCGCCCCCATTATGCCTCAGGTTCAAGCCCTCCCATCTCGGCGGCGCCTCCTGGGTCCACTAGAGGGCGCACAGGAGTCAGAGTGGACCTTGCTCTGTGGTCCAAGGTCCAAGCAGCCTGGCATCCCACTGGACACCCCCTGCCGTGCTGGGGCGGGAGTGGACCTGGGAAGCCAGTGCTGTGCTCAGTGGCTCTGGGGGGAGACCCGCCCCCATCCAGCACCCCCCTCCACTCACTGAGGAGGATGATGAGCCCTATGACGAAGGCCAGGCCAGCGAAGATCAGGCCTCCCTGGCGGACAGTCTCGTAGTCTGGGCAAAGAGAGGGCAAGAGAGGCGGGATGGAGTCTGTCCCTGCAGCCCGCCTGGCCACCCACCCACAGCAGCCGCAGGGCAACGGGGCGGGGATGGGGGGCAAAGGGGCATTGACACAGGCAGGGGGAGGGGCTGTGAGCCAGCTGGCAGGGGAGGTGGGGTCCCCAGGCTTACCATAGTGGAATGGGTCCTCTTCCCCTTTGGGGCTTCCACCTGAGAAGAGAGCCACAGGTGTGCTGGGGCGGGGGCAGGGAGTCTACGCAGTGACCAGCATGGGAACTTGGAATTTCCGGTCCTCCCCTTCCCAGCCGCGGAAGCCTGCAGAGGGCAAAGGCAGGCTCCCAGCAGAGGAGGCCAGCGGGTCTGCGCGTGCCCTTCCCCCGGCACACAGCTGGCCACCCCCATCCACGGGGGCTGCAGGGCCGGCAGCACGTCAGGGAGGGGCCGGGTCTCCTGCTCCTTGTGCGTGGCGATTCGAGGCTGAGAAAGACGCCCGCCCGCCCATCTGCCTGCAGCCTGTCTCTCAGGAAGCTGCAGCTATCTGAGGATCACTGAATGAAGCAGAACCTCCAAGTTCATGGAGCAGAAACAGGAAACTGAGGCCCAGAGGAGGAAAGCGAGCCAACGTCCCCGGGGCAGGTGGAGCCAGGAGTCTTGAGCTGTTTCCAGTTAGTGTCAGAGCTGCTGTCCTTTGTCACCGCGCTTGCTTGCTCGCTCCGCTTGCTCGGAGCCAGCACACCGCTGTCAGAAATGTTGACAGCCGTGGGTGGTCCTTGCCACTTGTTTAACCCCTGACAACCCCTCGAGGCCTCACCGCTACTCCACTGTAACCCACAGGAGCACAGAGGCACAGAGAGGGCATGTGACTCACCCGCAGTCACACAGCGAGCAAGGGGTGGGGCTGGGATTTGAACCAGGAGGTGGCAAAGCACCCAGGAGCAGAAGCCCTCCTGGCAGGCTGGAAGGAGGCCTCTCAAGGTAAAGGCGCCTGGCCCTGGCCCTGTGGCCTCCCCACCCCGCCTCAGAGCCACTCACAGCCAGTAGGGGTCGCAGGCCTGCCCCCAACCCTGCGAGGTGCACGCTCGCCCTTGGCCAGCTCTTCCGCTCCAGTGGGCACCTCCTGGGCTGTGCTGTGTCCCCAGCAGCCCATCTTAGGACTAAGAGAGAGCCGCCCGGCAGGGGTCAGTGCCCAGTCCTGAAGGGCCTGACAGGTCAGGAGGACCAGAGGCCAGGGCCAGGCCGTGGGGGCTGCGGAGCCCTCTTCCCCCTCAAGGGCATCGTCCCAGACTAGGTCAAGTCTTTTTCAAGGTCACATCGAGAGTTCACATCAAAGCCACAGCCAGACCCAAGCCAGGACACCCCTCCCTGCCACAAGAAACCACTCCCTGCCTTGAGCCATTTGAAGAGCCCCTCCCCCACCCCACACCCTAGGCTTTTCTAGAACAGCTGACCTTCCCGCCCGGTCCCCCCTGCCCCGCCACCCAGTCAGCAGGTGTCCGCTTGGTCTGCACAGGCCTGAGTCATTTCTCATCACGGGATGCCTTTGGGGAGTGTGTCCTGAACCTGAAGGGCTGGGACTGGGCTAACCAGAGGGCCTGCCCCTCCCCCAGCCAGCCCTCCCTGTTCCCGTTGCCTGCGTGCACACCGGCTTCTACCTGCTGCCCCCAGTTCTGCCACTCGCGCTCTATGGCTTTGGGGTGAAGGCAGGCTAGGAGATGTTCTTGGGGAGGGGGCTGGCACGTGGAGGGAAGAGGGGGTCCTCAGGGTGGCTGCCGCCACCGAGGCAGGCACGCACTCACCATCGTCCCCTGCCATCTCCCCAGCCCACCGGGCTCCTCCGCTGCTTCCTGCCGCCTCTGCGTGTGCCGCAGGTGGCCGGGACGAGGTGCTGGCATTAAACATTAACAGTGCCAGGTAATATTTACCCTGGTCACAAGAAAAGCTGTGGTGGAGACGCAGGGGATGCAGGGGCTCCCGCAGAGCCGGGAGGAGGTGCGCGGGGAGGGAGGGGCCGGCTGGGTTTCCAAACCCTCCCAAAGGAAATTTCCAGAGAGAAGGGCCAGGGATGGGTCAGCGGGGGTCACCTCGCCAGCTGTGGGAAAGGGGAAGCGCAAGGCTCAGCCTGTGCTGCACTTGGAGCTCTGGGGGCAGAGGCGGGGATCCCAGGGAGGCCCCTCAGCCCCCCCACCCCGTGGACGGGACTGCACCACTGGGGCACCTTACCCGGCACTCAAGGCTTCCCTGAGGGGCTCCCAGAGATGCCCCACCAGAGCCCCCCAGGGTCTCCCTGCCTGTCCCAGTGCCTCCCTGCACACCTCAGAGCCTGGCTCTGCTCCCCTCCCCTTGGGGCACTGTTGGCGCCTGTGCAGCAGAGGCACAGAGATGTTGGGGACCCTGCCCAAGGTCACACAGCCCGTGAGGAGCAATGGGGAGACTGATGAAGAGACCTTGGGCTTCAGAAATCAGGGGCTGTCCCCGACCCTCCCAGCTGTCTCCCATGACCTCCCTCTCCTCGGGGACTCCAGTGCCCAGGACTTGGTGAGCACCGCAGAGACCTTGTTCCGTTTGAACCATCTGAATTGGTCTCCAGAAGAGACTGACGCCCAGTGGCACCCAAAGGGCTGAGGCCAGTGGGCAGCGTCCACCTGGGGCAGCTTGCTCCTTCCAAAGGGAGCCGCTCCATCTGTGACTTCAAGACTCCTGCACTTGCCAAAGCTCTCTGTGCCTCAGTCTCCTCACCTGTACAATGGGCACAGTCCTGGCTCCTTGGGTTGTGAAGAGTGAGATAAGGCATGTGAAGGGTGTAGCATGGGGCTGGAACGGGAAGTGTTGTTCTTGCGTTGATCAGAAAAACCACAGGCACCAAAAGCATTGGACAGCGAACACCCAGCCCCTCCCCGCTGAAAACGAGCATAAGTGAGCGAGACAGAGGGAGGGAGGTCACCACCCTATGACCTCGCCGGCGGCTGTCACACCCCTGCGCCTCTCTTCTGCTTTCAGAGCCGGTGGTCAGCAGCACAAGGGGGCTTCAAAAGGCAACAGAAAACCCGCACCATCTTAGGATACCGTTTCCTCTATGGTCTATCTGGAGCCCCCTCGTACATCCACAGAGAGCTCCCTAGCCCTGGGGGGCCATTGGCAGGTAAAGAAAGCTGAGGCTGGGGGCCAGCGCTGTGGCGTAGCGGGTAAAGCCGTCACCTGCACTGCTGGCATCCCATGTGGGTGCCGGTTCAATTCCCGGCCGCTCCACTTCCGATCCAGCCCTCTGCTATGGCCTGGGAAAGCAGTGGAAGATGGCCCAAGTCCTTGGGGAACCCCTGCTCCTGCGTAGAGAATGCAGAAGCTCCTGGCTCCTGGCTTCAGATGGGCCCAGCTCTGGCTGTTGCAGCCATCTGGGGAGTGGACCAGCAGATGGAAGACCTCTCTCTCTCTCTCTCTCTCTCTCTCTCTCTCTCTCTCTCTCTCTGCCTGCCTCTGCCTCTGCCTCTGCCTCTGCCTCTGCCTCTGCCTCTGCCTCTGCCTCTGCCTCTCTCTAACTCTTTCAAGTAAAATAAATAAATATTTAAAAATAAAATTTTAAAAAAGAAGCTGAGGCTAATCCTTGGCTGCCTGCAGCCGCCCCTGGAGGTGGCCCGCGCTCCCCTGGGAAACCTGAGGAACCGAAGGCAGGAGGCTGAGGGACCCGCTTGGAACCCATGATTAGCACCAAACCCCGAGCTAGAAAGCCCGGCTCCTCCAGGCCACGCAGCTCAAGCTACTGCCACTTTTCACGTGGGTAGAGCACCCCAGTCACCCGCCATCCCATGAGCTCTGACTGTGGTGCCCCTGTCACCCGCCATCCCATGAGCTCTGACAGTGGCGCCCCTGTCACCCACCATCCCATGAGCTCTGACAGTGGCGCCCCTGTCACCTGCCATCCCGTTAGCTCAGTGGGCATCATCTGTCCTGGGAGCCACCACAGAGGCTTCCTGGAATAACAAGGAGGGAAGCACAGGTGGAAAGTTAGATGAAAGATGTAGACAGACAGACAGACATGCCAGATCATAGGTAGATATGGACTGAGAGATGATAGGCACGATGGATAGATGATGATGGTGACCGATGATAGATAGTAGATACGGAGAGATAACCACTAGATGGAGACACATTGATGATGGTGATAGATTCATGATCAATACAGGTGACAGGCAGACAGATTGAGATAGATGCTAACAGGTGCAGATGGATTGGTGATGACACAGATGATGGGTGATGATGACAGATGATGAAGATAGCTGGGTAGATGCTAGCCAGAGACAGATGACCGAGAGGTGACAACAGGAGAGCAAGCCGACGGCCGCATGCGGAGCCTTTATGTGCAAGGCACAGCTGTGCTTTACAAAAACAGTCTTTCGTTGCCACCACGGCTCTGCGAAGGAAGGGAAGTGTTTTTAGTGTCTCTGTTTGATAAAACAGGGAAACAACACAGAACAGCCCAGTCACAGGAAGTCAAATAATCTGCAGAGACCAGCAGCTGGGAAGTGGGGAGCCAGGATTTGCAGCACGGCCCGCCTTCAGAGTTCCGGTAGATCGTGTCTGCACAGCCAGCAGGCCCAGGAGGCTGTGCTGGGCACTTGGCACGCGTACCCAGCAGGCCAGGACTGCACGCTGAGACGCCCTTGTTGCTCCTGGTTTCTGCTCTCCTGCCCCTCTGGGGAGCCTGGGGGTGCACTTGAAAGTGATGGAGGACACCTGGGGCGGGCGGGACTGGCCTCGGGGGACTCACCCGGGTACCACCTGTCCATGGCAGGAGCTGCTGGCCGTGTCCAGGGGCGCGACACAGGCGGGACGTGTCTGTCGCCTGGGGCCCAGATGCACGGAGTGGCACTGCCTGCCCACACACCTCAGCTGAGCCCAGAGCCAGGAAGAGACAGGGGCGGATAGGAGGGGCTGGAAGAGAGCCCTCAGCTCCTGCCCGGCTGCCAGGACGGGTTGGGGCAAGGGAGCCACGTGAGAGCCAGCTGGGGCCGGGGCGGGGGGGGGGCGGCGGGGAGGGTCTGACCTCCCCTGCACCAGAGGAAGGGGACGCTACCCACAGCCCTCACAAGGGCTCAAGGAGGGCAGCCAGGGTGCACAAAAAGGTTGCCTGGAGCCGGCGGAATCAGAGCCCCCTTTTTCCTCCAGGCCCCTGAAGGAGACGTAACGGGCATTTGTGGGCGGAGCCCCTTGAGCTTTTACTGGGGGTGGGGGTGGGAGGTCGCACTGCCATCCTGCAGGTCCCTCTGTCCTGTGCCTGATGTATCTGCCCCAGCGCCCCATCCTGTAGCCCTGTGTCCCCTGAGACTGTGCCTCTGTGGGGTGGGAATGGTCTTCAGGGCCTGGGCCTAGGGCCTGAGACTCCAGAGAGTAAGAGTGGCCGTGGGACTGGAGTCAAGCCTGGTACGGGGGCCGCTCCCATGGCCACCCCCAGGGACTTGCGCAGGCTGTGACGGCAGAACCGAGGATCGAGCCAGAGTTGCCTGCAGCCTAATGAGGCCTCTGCCGGCTGCTGGTTGGGGCCAGCAGGGGATGGCCGGAAGGCAGCCCATCCTCTGGTCCCGGGGCCGGGATGCAACCTGGAGAGCCTTGTGGCAGCCCCTGCTCCCAGGTCACCAAGGCCTCCCGTGGGCCCAGGGCAGGCCGAGACTCACGGCCTCTGTGGGGCTGACCTGGGTCTGGGGTCTCCCTCAGGGTCGCCCTGGCACCAGCCACCGAGCCACAGCGCTGGGGAGATGCTGGGTCTGGCCTCAGCCTCTGTCTCTCCTGAGCCGGCAGCCCTGACCCCAGGCTCCTTGTGCCTCTCCCTGCCCCCAGTGAGGCTGGCACGGGCAAGGCTGCCCAGGGGCCCTGTCACATGTCCCAAGTGGGAACCTGCCTGCTGCGACAGCCCAGACCGCGGGGCGCTGTGACAGGTGCATGAGCCTCCGGGCGGGGGACCTGCTGCAAACACACACGTGACCTGCGGTCCAGGGAGGTGGCGGTCTCAGCCGGACCGCCCCTGCCCCTACACACTCTCTGTTACTCTTGCACACTCGCATTCACACAATCTCTCTCTCGCTCACACACACACACACACACACCCCGCCTGCATTCCCCACCCAGCCCTCGTGCTGTGAGGGAAGACACCTCCCTCCTGGAGTTGTAGACCAAGAGGCTGGAAAGGGCGTCCTTGGCTGCCCCCTCCAACGCCTGCGCCATTCACGTGGTTCACCCCCCTGCTAACCCTGAGAGCTCCGAGGATAAGCCAAGGGCCTTGTGTGTCCTAAAAGGCCCCTTTCAGTCTGCACCAGCGACCTCTCGTGGGAACTGACCTGTGACTCCCCTGCCCCTCTCCTCACTGCAGCCACGCTGGTCTCTGACCAGCTTCTAACCCTCCAGCGCACAGCCCTGCCTCAGGGCCTTTGCACAGACTGTTGGCCTCCCATCCTGAACGCAGGCTCCAGGCTCAGCTCCCACTGTCCTCAGGTCTTCCTCGTCAGATCCACTCAGATGCAGCACCTCAAGCCCCTTCTCAGTTACCTCTGCTGTGCACACGCACCACTGTCCCACGGGGCATGGGCTTTCCTATCTTGTTTGTCTTTCTCCCAGGTAGAATTTAAGCTCCGAGAGAGTGAGAAGTTCTCTTTGTTGGTTCGGTCCTGGACCCCAGAGTCTGGGGCAGCACGGTGTGGACCCTGGCGTTGTTCCATGGCTCTATCAGCCCCAGGGAGGTACAGCGGTCCAGCTGGGGCACAGGCAGGCCCAGCTGGTCCAGGGCCGCCCTCTTGTGTCGCCACCGGCCTGGGCACACAAGTCACCGTGTCTCAGGGGCATCAGGGGGTCAGCACCCCCGCTGCCCCCAGACCCTTCTTGGGGGGGTTCTCTCACTACTCCTGTTCCCACCCCTGCCTCCGTCCAGGGCCCCTCCCAAGCCTGCTGCCCA